ATCTAGCTCTGTTTGGACATTTTTAGCCTCTTTACTGTCACCTTAGCGTCTCTGTTTGAGGATTTTTCGCCTGTTTGCAGCTGAAACCTGTTTTCATTCTGCGTTCATGTCAGTCAGTAGCTATTAGTGTTCAGGAGGACAGAAACGTGCTTCTGTTGCATGTTTCTGTTGTCATTTGTGGCGGTTTTTGTCCTTTTCTGACCATTTTTCTCTCTTATTGTTCACCAGATGGGTGGTGAGGAGCCAGAAACACAATCAAACGTTAATCAGGAGTCATTAAGGCTGACGAGAAGCAGCTCCGACCCGATCGGCACAAGACGAAGGTCGATAAACGACTCGATGAAGCTGTAAAACTGATCCTGGTTCAGCTGATGGAAGCTTCTTAAATATGAAAGTACGACTCATTCATTCACCGACAGAGACGTGAACACATGAGCGACTGGATGTGAAACACAGTGAAGCTGTTTCTCCATAAAACACTGAATCAGGTCAAATTAAAATCACACTGAGAAAGAAATGCTGCAAAAACCAGCAGAACATGTTTTAAATCTGTGAAAACAGTAAAAAAAACTGCAAATAAAGACAGTTTTAGACGATTTAAATCCAGGAAAATAGTGTGAAAAAGAACAAATGATCTGTGATGTGGACGTTATTCACAGTTTAATCCACACATTTCTCTCAGTTAACTATAAATGTATGATTTTGTATTTTATTGGATATTTTCTGTTATTTAACACAACAGGATAAATTACAGGAATTTTTTGCCACTTTCAGTCCTTAATATGTCATTTTTGGATCAAATAACAGCAAATATCTGTGAAACATTGATGTTTTTGCTGATTTAAGTATTTAAAAACGGTGAAATCTTCTAATCAAACGCTGTGAAAGAATAAAACATGAATGATTCTTAATGTGGACGTTAGTTCAGGTTTAATTAGTTTAATCCTCTGGGTTTAAACGCAGTTAGTTCTGGATTTTGTTCATGTTAATGGATCGGTTCTGTCCTGGTTCTGTCTGCTGGAGTCCAGCCGGTGTCGGAGCAGGAGGAGGAACCCGACGGACTCGCGGCTGAGCTGCAGTCAAACAGATAAGTGGAGCTAATTCCCAGTTAGTCGGTCTGCTGGGGGCAGATAACGTCCACGTTGAGCTGCTGTCGGCTCGTCTTATCGGCTCCACGCCGTTTATTGATCAGAGCTGGATCGTTATCAATAAATGAGCTGAAGGGCGCCGCTCGGCTCAGGACTCTGTCAGGGTCAGAACCTCCAGGATCTTCTCATTAATGTTAATGTTGGTTTGATTCTGCACCAGTAACCCGTTTATTAACCGTCTAGCTGGAGTCCTTCTAGATCCACACCTAGTTCAGAGTTTATACATTTATGACCCAAACCTGAGTTCTGTCGGATACTTTAGCTGAATTTACAGAATTTCATGTTGTCAGAACTTTTCCATTTTCACCTCTTAAAAAACACCTGTGCAGTTATTTTCAGGGTTCAGTATCTCCAGAAACATCATGAAACTCTGTGAGAACTCAGACAGAACAGGTCCCATCGGATCAGAACGATTTAACGGATCCAGCTGAGCACACATTTATAATTACTGGTTCTTGAAAATGGAAAAAAAATCTGACAATTTCAAACCTACAGTGGTTCTGTGTCTCCAGAAAGTTCCTGTCAGTGTCTGTCTATGGATGGATCCGTGGTTCTACTAGAACCCAGTCTCTGGTCACATCTCACCACCTGTTGAGGCTCTAACATCAGTAGAACCTGATGTGGTGAAGCTGGACCAGACAAGGTTCTGGTTTTACACGTTCAGACTAAATGTTGATGTGGATCATTGGTAGGAACCAGAACCTGGAGTTTACTGGTTCTATATGTTGGTTCTAGATGTTGGTTGTAGGAGCACTTTGCAACATTTGTTTTGAAAAGTGCCCTATAAATAAAGTTTATTATTATTATGTTGGCTCTAGGTGTTGGGTCCAGGTATTGGGTCTACGTATTGGCTCTAGGTGTCGGGTCTACGTGTTGGTCCTACGTGTTGGCTCTAGATGGTCCTATGGGTTGGGTCTAGGTGTTGGGTCCAGGTATTGGGTCTACGTGTTGGTCCTATGGGTTGGCTCTAGGTGTCGGGTCCAGGTATTGGGTCTACGTGTTGGTCCTATGGGTTGGGGCTAGGTGTTGGCTCTAGATGTTGGTCCAATGGGTTGGCTCTAGGTGTTGGGTCCAACGTGTTGGCTCTAGGTATTGGTCCTATGGGTTGGCTCTAGATGTTGGTCCTATGGGTTGGCTCTAGGTGTTGGTCCTACGTGTTGGCTCTAGGTGTTGGGTCCAGGTATTGGGTCTACGTGTTGGTCCTATGGGTTGGGGCTAGGTGTTGGCTCTAGATGTTGGTCCTACGTGTTGGTTCTAGATGTTGGTCCTATGGGTTGGTTCTAGGTGTTGGGTCCAACGTGTTGGCTCTAGGTGTTGGTCCTATGGGTTGGCTCTAGGTGTTGGGTCCAGGTATTGGGTCTACGTGTTGGTCCTATGGGTTGGGTCTAGGTGTTGGTCCTATGGGTTGGCTCTAGGTGTTGGTCCTA